ATGTGGCAGTCCAGGAAGTGAAGGAACTTTTAAGAAAGCAGAAGACCACTAGGGTGATAGAAGTTAAGATGGTTGACCTTATGTATAGATGTTGACATTGGAAGAAAATTGTTGGAAAATAGCAAAACAAAACTCCATCTAAGGCTTACTTAAATAAGTTAATGTTTTCAGAAAATAATATATCATATTTTATTTTAAAATACTAATATGTTTTTCCTTTTAGATAATGAAGAACAGTCCATACTCCTACGTTGTTCTTTCCAAACTCAATGCAGAAGTATCAGAAGCTGGGAAAGATGCAGAATGTGTCAATGTTTATATGCCTACGTCTGCTATTGCTACGCTAACAAAAAAATACTATGATGGTCCAATTCTGTAAGTTATAACGATACAGCCAATAAGCAAATTTCTCTTAAGAAAATTCCTATTATTTAGTTAGGCCCAAGGAGGATTAAACATTAAGGAGAGGACACGCTGTAGTTTCGTTGAAGCCAGCGTACTGGGGAGGGGGGAGGCAGCGCTACTCTCCCGCCCCCTCTCATTCTGCGTTGTATGGGTTACTGGAAGAAGTTAGAGCGGATTTGAATTTTTTCTTAACTCTGGCTACTTAAAATCACCTGCCTAGCACATAAATGCCTTAAAACTAGTAAAAAATTATATTGACAAATCGAGAAAACTATGAAAAATGCAAATTTAAAATGTATTTCACAACCCGAATTGAATTTTTCATTTTATCCTACAATTAGTAAGATTGTTTTATAAACTGGAAAAATTGAAAAAAACTTTATTGTAATTATTTTTCTAAATAGGTACCACTTTTAAATATAGGTAAATACATATTTTTTATTTCGAGAAACTCTTAAGGAACACGAATAAATTGTTAATTTGTATAGATACATCATATTTTTTTCAAAAACGTAATTAAAGTAATCATATGTCGTATGTGGAAAAGTTTTACATAATCCAAACCGAAACAAATTAAACATACACAGCAAATCTATGCTTAAAAGTTATAAATTTGTGTGATAACTATTCATTTCAAAAAGCAACACAAAGAATGTTTATTGTTGCAGGAAAGAAAAAAATAAAGAATATTCAGTTACCCAGGGGGAATATTACTTGGAATACAAAGAGAAATGTAAGTATGTACTAATAAATATGTAAAACATAAAAAAAAACTACAATCAATTATTGGGCCGGTTCTAGAGATTTTTCTATTGTGAGCAAACAACATTCTGGTGTCCTCTCTAAAAAACTTATATGGTTAGTACGTATTATCTCTGAATGTATTTTAAAATCTGAGTAAATATAAATGCTTAAGAACGGCAGAAACGTGGGAACCTCTGCCAGACGAGTTAAAGTAGATGACGGATAGATGCCTGACGGACTGTGGAAGATTTGAATTTTTGCCTTGATTGCGGAAGATGACAATAATGTCTGGAGATGTTTATGATTTGGCCATGATCCCAGAAGACGGTGATAATGTTTCTTTTGCCTTGGGAAGTTATCAGAATTTTGCCGCGATCGCAGGAGATTATGATGATGTCCACACGGCCGCAGGAGTTGCTTATAGTGTTAAATATTCAATGCCTCTAGTCCCCTTCTTTAATACTGTACATTGAAGAGCGCTTAGGCGTCTCCTTTTGCATGATGCCCTACGCAACCGCAAACATTGCTTACACGTTAAACCGGCCCTGAGCAGTTACCAAAGTTATGAACATAAAATTAAATGAACTACTGAGGATTGATCGGCCATGTTATTTTTCTCAAATTATTTTTCTCAAATTACAAGTTTCAGTTAAATGTTAGTACTATCATTGACTATTAGAAACTGAAGTAGACCTCCCATCTATATGGACCAGCTGTCACCTATTTATTTTTATTTTTAAGAGAATATATTTGTGTACGCCAGTCTAACAATGTGCTAATGTCTAAAATTCTATTTTCTACCTTTATTTGGTTGCTATTCAAGTTGATGGGTTATAACAGTTGCTGTTGCTATAGCTTGCAATATGTAATTCCATTAGCTTGACTTGCTAAAGAAGTTCATGTATTTGACATAAATTAGTAATTTATTTATATCAGCACAATCTGTCGGTGGCTCACTTAACAACGATAATTTTGATTTTAAAACTGGCAACAATTTTAACTTGAGGATGGAATGTCTAGTTGTATCAATAGTCAAAGGTACTATCACAGATAAAACATAGTCCCTTAGTAGATTTCCCATCCTTATGGAACAGCTGAAGCCAATTTTATTGTTAGTTCTATCCGGTTTTCTATAGATGTCGTGTTTAGTTTACAATCTGGTTCTATTATTTTAGGGTTAATTTCTCATTATTTGTGTCTCACTTAAATCACATTGGTTATGTAGCTATTGGACGAGTTATTGTTTATGATTAGATAGTTTTATTTGGTTAAACGAGGTTTTAAATTACTGAAATAACAAGAAACAAATTGTAAACAAAACACGACATCTACAGAAAACCGGACAGAACTAACAATAAAATTGGCTTCAGCTGTTCCATAAGGATGGGAAATCTACTAAGGGACTATGTTTTATCTGGTACTATGCTTTTCGTCGATCCTATTTTCTCATTACAATACCATCTGAGGGTATATGAAATGAAATGAAATGAATATGGTCTTTGTTTACAAAATATTGTTATGTACAATTCACAGGTTGAAAATTACACTTTATGAAAATTACAATTGTTTCAGGGAACTACATCCACTCTCGGTAAAACGTAGTACAATCACCACTGCTCATTTAATTCAAATAACATTTATTATAATGATAATATTATTTGAATGGGAAATAAATGTGACATTTTAAAGGGAATACTTTAGTGAGAATCCAGCCAGGTAAAATTCGCTTATTCTGCAGGTTTGCTGGGGCAGGGGTATTTTTATTTTCTGAAAATTCTCTCCTTGTTCTCTGACTGTTTGCCATTTTATTGTGACTTATTAATCCTTAAGTAGTTTGATTCTGTCTGCTTTGCTCTTCAAATCATCAAATGTAATAATATTACATAATAATATTATGTAAGTGAGACATATTCTGATACAGATTCCTGAGTAATGTAATCAACAACTTCTTTTCCAGATGACAAACAGCCATACAGGCTATATCCCCTTTTCCTGAAAAATAATGTTCTCATCACCTACAAATGCTGTGAAAAATGTAAGTAAACCAAACCAATAACAAGAAGGAAATATTTTACAGTAGAGTCAAAATGTTCTCATTGCTTTTACAACAATTATTTTAATTTAGATTATGGGACTGGACTGTGTTTATCAGGTCTATATTACTTACACAGGATGTGGCAGTAACTTTATAAAATGCATTAATTGATTAAAAATGTGTATTTATTGTTTATAATGACGGCTTTAATAACTATAGTTTTAATTTTGTTTTGCATTGTTTTGAGGATCAAGTTAGGTAGGCTAAGTCCCTCGTCCCAGCCTATTCTCTGAATGAACAAATTTTTGGCGTATGTCATGACTGCACATAGCCGATAATCTAACAGTTGTGCTTCTGGGAATGTTAATACAATATTAATATATGTTTTATAGGACAACTTATTGTCAACTATAGCATCATTTGTCCATCAACAACTGTCTAAATGAAAAGAATGCAGAGATAACATGGAAATTCTTAATATTATACTGACAGTAATTCGTCAGGACAGTAGTTTACACAAATGACACTTTTGTAAAACAATATAATTAGTTTGTTTATTTAGGCTATGCCTTTGTTTTATCATTATAGCAAAAAATGGTATATTCTTTAAACATCGTCATCGATAATAACATTTTTTCTGTGTAGTTCTTTAAGTAATTTAATGATCTCTAAGGCTCATACCTCTTTGTAAAGCAGAGGCAACGCTTCTGATAATATAAATATTTATGTCAACGTGTTTTGTTTCTGTAGGTAGTGGAAAAACACCAAACGTAGGAATAGCTGTTCCAGATGGAATGATAAACGACTCGGCGACCAAAGCTACTATAGCTGAAGCAAAAGTAAAGTTGCAGGACTGGCAGCTAGATGGAAATGTCCGCAACTTAAGACCTTGCCCCGACGTTGAAATCGTTAAACAGTAATGTCTCAATACTTGTTCAGGACTTTAATAAAGCTGCATACTTTGTATATGTGGCTTATTAATTTCCACATGTTAGAGCTCGTGCGTTTCCTGGTGAAGCCTGGGGGTAGGGTTTAAGCCCGTACAAAACGGGTTCTGAGCCACTCACACCACCTACCCCCAGGCTTCACCAGGAGACCCACGAGCTATAAAATTTATGGAATGATGAAGCAATATATCCAAACTTCATAGCCACTAGAATGGCTTTAACACATTGTATGCGGCCGTTCCCAATTAAAATTTCCTCATTAAATCTCCGTCTGGCAAGCTTAAAACTCAACTAGCTATGTCGTCTTTCTCCCTCCAATTGGCAATACAATGGGACCGGCTACGTTCCAAGCAGTGCTACTATCTATGGGTGTTTTAGCGAACTACATCGACTCTTGTCGTGAATCAGGACATCACCGCACGTTATTTTCTATTCGTCAGACCGAAATACAATTGGAAAGACAATCACCCGGCAATCGGGTTTTTTCGATGCTGCAGGCTGCGACACACTGGGACTACTGCCATTTGATGGGCCGCAGCAAACGTGTTAAGTTGTTCCATGGCATTATGTTTTTAAATAAGGCAACATTTAGGTAACAAGAAACAATGTTACCTATAAGAAACTTGAATACTAAACATATTGTGACAACACGATAAAGCACTACACTTTTGATTATGACAGATTGATTGTCATTGAGGAGACGAACCTGTATTACAAGAAATTGCACGATCAGCATTCGTCTATTAAAGTCAGACGGAACTTTGCCTACTTTCTGAACAGACATCATAAAAGTCTTCTTTCCTTTAAATCATGGAACTCCAGTTTGTGCAATTATTATAAAAGTAAATATGGAAAATAAGTGACAAATATTTAAGTAAAGATTATTTATTACAACCTTAAGAGTATGTACAACAAAGAGTTTACAGTTAATACAAAGAAACGAACAATGTGAACAAACAAGTTTAACAGTAGGCTATCTGGTAGATTATTCGAGTGGTAAATATCGATAGGGTACTGGAATCTTATATACAAGTTGTGTATACCTGTTGGTAGTTAACTTATTGCAATTTGTATTTCAATGCACAGATCTGTACACAAAACCTTAGAATTGAAGGTTTCATTGTAAGGAAACTTGTCAAAATTAAATTCAAGTAAATTTCCAACACTTGCTATGTAGAAAACTTGCATACTTACTTTGTAGAAAAGTAGTTTCAATTGTTATCAAACATACATACAACGGGGATTAAACTATGTGGTGAAGACAGGATAAGTATTATAACTATACAGATTTAAATTAGGTTTGATTTTATTTTTCTGGCACAGTGAATCAATATTTTACAAGTACTGTGGATTTTATATCAATGAAGTTCTTACATAATCTTCATCGTATTTCCCTATAAGGCATTGTGTACTACTATTTTGTATTTGGTTTGATTGTTCTTTGATTGTTAGGTTTCAAATTTGTTTGACACACAGTAAATAGAATATAAACTATGAAAGTTGACCTCTGAACTTATTAAAAGGTTTTTCATATTTAAATCTCCGGATTATCTATTTAATAACTGATTAAACATAATTTAGTACCGTATACGATATTTTTGACTACAGTATTGATAAAACTTCAGTATCAATGTCAATGACGATATGTTAGTTTATAGTTGCACTAAAAACTCCTTCTCACATACATTTGTTATGTAAGGAGAAGGTATTCTACATGTTATCAGTAATTTTATGCTGGAGACATTTACAGTGAATATACATAACAATTTCCTAAGTATTTACATTACATCATAAATGCTAGGAAATTAAAATTATTGGTGTTATGACAAATAGTCTAGTATACAAATAAAATAATCATGTAACTACATATCATACTGAAAAAATGTTTGTGAAGTCATTTTTCTCTTCTTCTAAAATACTGTGACAAAAATCTACAGTTTGCTAAGATTGCAAATAAATTATCTTTTGATTTGTAAATCAGGCATTGAAAATCATCCGTTTTGGTAACCAATCGGAAATATGGCAATTAAATTCAGGCATCCTATCAGTTAATCTAAAAGTTAATTAAAGTTAATTTGTACAGTTCATAAATACAAACAAAGATCGAATCTTAAACAATACAGTTAGGAATATTCAAACCACTCCAAAGTCCGTGTGAACTGTTACGTCACAGTTGTTTTGTTTCTCAGCGGCCATGTTAACTTCTACTAAAGTATCGATGGAATTAATGCTAACTCCTTTCAGAATATTCTGGGCTGCGATTGACGTGAAATGTAGTGACAAATCACTCAAGCTCGGAAAAGTTCCGAGCTCCGAGTTTGCGTCCTTCTTGATATCCTGCGTACTCAAACTCCCGTTGAGCTTCATGAAGTCGCTGTTGAAAATCTGTCCTGCTGAAGTTAACTCGCTCGGGTAGGGTTTCGTTGGACTTGGAGGGTTACTGTTGAAGTTTTTTGCCTCTTTATTCATGATCAGGGGTGAAAAAGGATCGGATTCCTTGAGAAGATTTTTTACGCTGAGATTCTCAGTTTTGTTGTACGACTGTAAAGGTGTCGATGAAATTGAGGCTTTTCTGACATTATTGAGCTCCGATTCTAAGTTTGCAACATCAATTAAACTCCCTGAAGCAAGTTTTGAAGAGTCAAAGACAGTCCTGTTTTGTGAGTTTTTATTGTTTTTTGATGATGTCAATAGTTTTTCCTCCAACTGAATTGTTTCCGAGGAAGGAAACTTCATCTTCAGCTGAGTTTCAAGCTGACCAAAGAGTTTCTCTTTTTTAGGATCTTCCAAGCCTTCCTTAGAGTACAAAGACGTTGGCCTCTCAGCCTTTGATTTGTTCTTATTCTTATTGCCGTCCTTATCATTACCCTTATTTGTGTCTGAGGCATTACCACCGTTTAAAATAATTAAATCTGTGTTCTTAGGGTTTTTTGCTGACCCATTTTCAAAAGTTATGATAGACCGCACAGGGGAATTCTGTTGTTGTACAAATATTTTTGTTGTATTGGCACCGTTGATAGTCGTTGTCATTGTAGTTGAGTTATCGTCTGTTGATTCTCCAACTGAAGATTTCAAAGAAGATATGAAACCCCCGATGTTCGTGTCACACTGACTTGAGTAGTTTCCTTTGTTTTGGTTTGTTGAGACTTGCAGTGTGATTGAGTTTTTGCCTGCAACAATGAATGATTTATGTCAATTACGATTGAGTTTATAAAAATGTTAAAGTTATTGATAGTTTTTTTTTTATATTTTTCCTATATAAAAGTAGCAGCTTAGTTGAGCTATTGACCGTGTGCTTCAACAAAAAACTTTTTTTCTTTTTTTTAGGCCAATACTTTTACTATGTCAAACTGAAAAGAGAAACTTGTTGTAAACCATAGAATCTTTTACGTACCCAACCAGCATGGCATTTCAAACTAAAATAGCTTAATCCCTGTATGGGAAATTCGCTAAAGAACAACACTTACTCTGTGAGAGGCTCTTAGTTCTTTCAGCTATGTTTCCTTTCAGGACAAAACTATAGCTTGACCATATGGATAGGATGACTTTAGAATTAATTCCTATACTTATTGAGACCCTGAGTACCACTGTGTACAGGTTACTAGATTTTGTGGAACCATGCCTCTTCCTGAGAACTTAATTTTACTCTAGAGTAGACTTTTTCAGAAAGTAGATTATATCTTACTGGCAAATCATCACTGAGATGATTTCTAGGTTCTGTTCTGATTTAATATCCACCTACCAGAGTTTGCAGCTGTATGTACAGGCGAGCTCTTGGGAGAAGGTGAAGCCTTGGACCGTGGCAGAGAGTTGTAGCCGGAGCTGGCTGATGACAGACTCTTGGTGTTGACCACGGTCTTGCTAGAGGACAGAGAGCTGCGGGAGGGCGAGGAGCGACGAGAGGGTGGTCGGGAGGGAGTGGGGGTGGTGGCAGCCGAGCGTCGCGGATGTCGCTGGAGAGTGTCGTCTCTGTCTCCTCCCCAGTCTCTTACTCGGCTTGAACTGTTGGCTCGGCTCTGTGAAAACCAAAGTGTTATTTTACGGAAGAGTCAAGTAACTGATAAAAGTTGTTTTTTACTAGGGTGAGCTTAGCTAGCTAATCTGGTAAAATTGGCATAAGGGTTATACTTTTTGGAGAGACAAGTGTCTGATACTTTTTTTGCAAAGGGGTCAATTACAGCTGTTTTGCCTAAGATTATTATGCTCTAGGGGCTAATAGACATACATATAACTTGATGCTCTGTCATTCATCGTTAAAAGTTGAAGTTACGATATGTTACCCTTGTGTAAGAATATTTCATATACAGTATCATCAGCCTTTAAAGCTCTATAAGTTATCAATTGAACTTGAAATATGTTTATAACTCATCGTAGCTCTTATTCATAAATAGGCTGAAGAATTTCCGGGTACATTCTGAGTGAGATGTACTTAGAATCAGGCGTTTAGCAAATCTTTCCTTGCCCAAAAATATTGTTTAAAATCTTTGGTTTTTGTGCCTGTAAGATGAGGGTAAACGTAACATACTTAGGATAAAGTAGATGATTAACTGACTAATTCCTAAAGCTCTAAGAGTTATTTCATTCCACCTTGACATCACACACTTCAATACTCACAGCATTTACTTCCACCACTACTCACCCTGATGGAGGGACTATTGCTACGAGTGGTCCGAGCAGGCATGGCTTGTGTCTGAGTGCCGACCGAGTGTAGGTGTCGCACTCGACTGTTGAACCACTCAGAGGGAGGGAACTGTGCGGAGAATGTCTGTAGAGGTTGCGACTTTCCTCTCTTGGACCTCCTGAATATACGTGACAGCAGCGACAAGGATTTACCTGTAAAGCGTGCATTGTTGTGATAAATATTCATTTTGATTGACAGATTTTTTTCTCTCTTAACCAAGTGAGCACTCGGTATGCAATGTCTTTATATACCTATCAATATCTATTAAAAAACTTAGGTGTTTATACATTAAAATCAGAGGATACATTAAATGATACACAAATAGTGTCTAGCCCCAGTCGCTTGAGTCTAGAGCAAATTCTATTCGTCGTCCCCCCTCGCTCAACTCCCCCCCCCTTTTCATCACGTACTACAGCCTAATCCTACATAAAAACTTCACCTACAGGAAGACCCTCTGTGCTACGACAATGCTATGTGGCCATCGCCGTTCGGGCTATTCCTTGTTTGGTACAAGTACATTTTTGCCTGCTCGATTGTCCCATAAACTTATGTATCCTCTGTATCTTACTCATCTAAGCCAGACAAGAGGGTGTCTACTGTAAGTAAAATTACTTACTCAACCTTCCATAAAGACATGTTTGGCTCCAAACCTTAAAATCTTAAAGTCGCTCATTCCATTGTGAGCAGGATCAATTCTGGTCGCAGATGCCCCTTGTCATTGAGCTATCACTTAGCAATGCTATAAGTTAGACTTTAGGCAATAACAAGACCAGGGTTTGCACTGTTCCTTTATGAAAAATACAAGAGAATGAGGCAACTTACGAGAGAACGTGGAAGATGATGCCAGTGGCACAGGTGAGGGTGTTGTCGTATCTGTCTGTCGTGTGGGAATGTGTCGCATGGAGCCACTCCGTTGTATCTGAGCCAACCTTTTGTTGCTGCCGAACAATCGCAGCGAGTGCCTTCTCTCCAGCTGCGCTCGCTTGACAGGCGACCGAGCGTAGAGCACTTTGTCTCCTGGGTTACCTGCACGATCATAACATATCTTTAACGTTTGAAAACTTATGATTAAGCATTTGGTTGTCAATGCAGTAATTCTTTATAATTGTTTTGCACTTTATTTTATGCAGCTTACAGTGTGACAGAACAATGAGAAAAATCAAAATGACACAAGGTGGTTTAGTCATGTAAAAAGAGTGATTGAAGGAAAAGCCAACAAAAATCTGTATTTTTATTATTTTTAGAAACCTTTAGATATGAAGTTGTTGTTAGACTACATTAGAAAATGGCAAGACATCCTCAAAGAAGACTTAAAGGATGAATCACTAAAAGTAAAACAACTGCGGCAAATGAATATTTATTATAGAGATTAGGTTAGAAAATGCTTATTTGCACATACTGAGGACTAAAAAGAATTTACTCAGAAGTTGAAAATTTTATAATAGTGATTTTTTAAAGGGATGATAGGGGTAGGTAGTAAAATACTGAAATGGATATGAATGCACTATGCAATCATTCCTTTTCATCCCACCAAATTAAGAAATCAATAGCCAGCTCATGACAACACTAGTTTCAAGAAACTTAAACTACACAAAATTCATGCTTTATTATTTTTTTACAAAAAACAGCCTCTACTTATCTTAAACTATTACCTTTAAAAGGATTTCAATTTAAACTGCTTTACCTTAATAACATTAAGACTTTTTCACAAACATCACAAGGTAATTTGCACAAATTTGACATTTGCATAAAATAAGTGTCCCTAATTGATCTTGAAATTACAAGACAGCTTCATAGCTGCCATATAGGGACAACAGCTACAAAATGTACAACACTGAAGTTCAATCAACATAAATAAAACACGTCCACGAGGCTTCAGAAGTGCCTGGAAGGCAATAGCAGGGCAAGTTGCCATATAAGGAGGCTGTAATCTGAGTTACAGGTGGTCAAATGGTCTCAACCTTCTGTACAGCCCCTGGCTTCATAGCACAGACGTTAATATTGGTAAATCTTTATAGTAGTTAACGCAACGATAGCGTAAAGTAAAGATAGTGTTAACAACATAAGTAGAAATTGAAGGTACGAGCCTTGGTAATTACGTGAGTTGCTTACACTACGTTACCTAAGACAGTTTACCTAATTACTAACAATCACTACTCAAAACTTCTAAAAGAGGTTATGTTTTGTTTATTTACGTTTTGTTTTGTTTTACTCATTGCCACCGACAGTGAAAACTAATTACACCACTCATTAACAATTAAATTGGTCTTTACAGCTGAAGTTCCAAGCATTAACATTTTACTTCTTTTCTCTTAATCCTTGAACCACATTGGTCCGTTGTGTTGTTAAGTAAAACAATGCTGTTAAGTAAGTAAACAATGATGTTTTGTGAATCTTTTCAATTCTAAGAACTGAACTAAAACGGCTAGTTTGAAAAACGGTCGTAGTTAAGGTTAATGACATTAATTTTGAAGTTCTAACAATTGAACGATATTTATAACATTTTTTATCAAGGATAGCAATCTTATCTGGACAGAAAAGAGTCAGAACTGCCAGGAGAAACATAAAAGTTACACTATACACAAAACATTTGAACATTTCACTGTCACTGACAGCACTTGCAGCTAAGGATGAGATAGTTTTAGAAAAACTACACTCTAATTGAAAATTCTGTCAGTGACAGTGAAATATTCGAATGTTCTATTTATATGGTGTTAAGTTTTGTGTTTCTAAGTTTCTAGTGCCAGATGGGCGCTTCCCCGTTAAGGTAAACCTGCTCTCCACACTAAAAAATCCTAAAATCCTTGGTCCTTGTGCTCTATGTTGCATCCTTAAGTTCAACCATATTGTTTTATTAATTAATACAGTGCATTTTAATATTAAAATTTAAGGAAACTGACAAAGAACTCGATAAGCAGGGTTATCTTATTATCTTAAGAACTGAAGGCATTTTACTTCACTGAAGGTTGAGATAATTTTATTATAATAATATAATGTTAAGATTTTGATTCTCCAATACAAAACTTTAGCTGCGCACCAGAATCATCACCTACAGTCTATATGAAATTCAGGGCCGATTTACCAAATAGGCACGGTAGGCACGTGCCTAGGGCGCGAGGCAATTGGCTTTTTTGGGGGGCGCCAAAAAATTGGGAAATAAAAAAAATTGGTAGTTGTATTTGCATGATCGCAGTAAACTTCCAAAAATCCCTCCCTGCCGTATAGAAATCGTAACCGACTCCCGCAATTGAGGCAAAATTCTGACTATTTTTCACGGTCGTGTATACATAATTATTGCCTTCCATGATCGCGGCAATATATGAACATTTCCCGCGGTCGTGAGGAGACAATTATCGTGTACCGCGAATGAGGCAAAATTCAGATTACCCTACGCAGCCGTGAAGACATCATTAATTGTACCCCGCGGTCGTTTGTTTATAGCAATTGCCTCCCGCGATTGAGGCAAAATGGTAATCATTTCCTGCCATCTTGTGGCAATCATCATCGTCTTCTGCGATCGCGGCAAAATTTTTGCTGTTTCCTGCGTTTGTGTGGACATCATCATCGCCTTCCGTTATCGCGACAATATTCTGATCATCCCTCGTGGCTCTGTAGATATTCAATTCAAATCAATTCAATCACCATCGTCTTCTTCGATCGCGGAAAATTCTGATAATCCCTCGTTGCCGTGTGTAGACATATTGTCGTCTCACGCGGTCACGGAAACGTAACTATTGTCATTCGCAATGGCGGTAAATTGAAAATTCCAGGTGCATATACAAAATTCACGCATATTTCCTGGTTCAAAAAAACTCATGCATAATTCACGGATTCCCAGTTTTCCTGGTCGGTGGACACCCTATATATATATATATATATAGCAAAGGGGCGCTACTATATAGTTGTGCCTAGGGCGCTGACAGGGTCAAAAACGGGCCTGATGAAATTCCAAAACTAGCTACAGCTTTAGACGATGTAATGTCCAGTTCTATAGTCACCTCCACATATGACGTCTGCTAGATTAGTCTGGATGGCCTGATGAGTCCTCTCTCCGTCCAAGACAGTCTCCATCTCTCCATGGACCATCGCCACAGCCTCGTCCGTACTCAGCAACATAGTACGGCTCACACCGGGGTCGTCCAGGGAAGTCTTCCGTAGCCTCCGCGACTCGGGTGTCATCACAAAGTAACCGCGGGACGTCTGGTACAACTGGGAGAGAACAAAACATTACTACTCGATATTTGATTTTAGGGAACTGTTGTATTTTAATGTGAAAAATTATATTGATATTATATGCACCGGAGTGCATATTTAAAGGTAGATGATTAAATGATTAGTGTTTTCAATAAATTGATACAATTAAGCTTTGTCACTGACTATACTTTGTACTGTATTTTATAATTTGCTATAACCCGCTTGTTTTGTAGCCAGGACTACAAGTCCTCCAGACTAGATAGGCACTATATTCACTCAACTACCTAATTACAAGAAGCTACAATTAGAAGAAAATTAGTCTTAACAAGAAGATTTGATAACTCTAAACTATTTAATTTCCATTGATCTCATTTGTTATTTTGTAGCAGTTCTGCAACTTTATTTGGCATATTTCACACTGGACTGCGATTTATTTCTAGATATTATCTCTGTGCAGTCGAGATTCACAGAAAGCCGTTTAATAGCCTATTGTGACATCTACATGGGAACTGCACGCGTAAGAATGTGTCAAGCAGTAGAAAGTACAGTATATCATTTGAACCTGTTGCGATGGCAATTAACATTATAATGGTGAGAACTCTTATACAATGAGGTAACGACAAAACGATTAAGGTATACTTTATAGTCAGTTACTGTAAGGTAATAGTGACATCCTAGTGTAATTAAAGTTCGATAAACTCTGTACACTATAGTTGTAATGAAGTAGAAAAGGGTCCAATTTCTTTTCTTGAGCAACTTGGTCTAATAAACTGTTACGGTATAAAACTTCTTCTTGGATAACTAAGCCACATTTATATGAAGGCAGTAAGAAAGGTGGTTGGATTCAAGAATATTTCATGTATTGTGTATTATTTGTCGTCAAAAATCTTATAATAACTTAAATTTAGCATATAAACAAAAACAATTGTTTACAAAAACCTTTTTCCGATTTCAGAGCTTTGTGCGATTTTTAACTGTGATTTTCAGGGTAAAGGCCTACACGTTTTCCCCAAAAGTGACAGAGGAAAAGAGTGCTCAATCACAGGAACACTACAACCACTAAACGTTACACATAGTATGATACCGGTACTTACTTTCCTATCTGTACATAGTTGAGCAAGAGTGTCATAGACGAGCTCTCGCGATGGCCACTCTATTCCCGGGAAGGTGGTGTGCAGAGATGTTCGGATAGTGTCTATAACAGCCACTTGTCCAGTAGCTGTCAACTCTAGCACCACCCAACACAGAGCTTCAGCCAGAGGTGTCCACTGGCCTTGAGATATGGGCTGAATCAGACAGTCCTCTACGTCTCCTGAAACATAGTTGAAAGCTTGTGTTAAATGTGTTTAGTATCAACATTGAATAGTGTTTCTACATTTATCATCTTTTCTAAAAGCTTGTGACGGTTGTGTGCACTGCGACTATATTTTCCTCTCCTTAGGATGGTTTATCTCAGAAAAAATGTGGGGAAGGGTAGGGAAAAGCTTGATGCTAAAGCATAAAGATAAGCCATTGATTCTGTGATAATACAACCAATATTCTCGCTTCATCTGAGCTAGCGAATCCCTGGGTCAGATATTAATAGAATACTGCACTTGTTGTAGTGCTTCACAGGATATGATCCTTCGCCCTCAGGCCCCTAACATAGAAAGCGTTCTAATAATCTAATCGGTTATGACATTGATGAGTTTTCTATGGAATCTTTATTTATAATCCAATGTTTTTGTAGCCTAACTTAGCCTACATGTAGCTATCCTCTCATTCTGAGAAATACCATATTTACCAGTCAGTACATTATAGTTCGGCCGCTTAGAAAGCGACCTCCTTCAGCATTGGTTTAGCATTAGAGGGCAGGTCGTTTTCTAAGCGGCCGAACTATAGTTGGCTATCAGCCTGGTAAATAAAATAAAAATTATGAATCGCATTGAAAAACACACCTTTCTTCGCAACATATCTTTACTCAGATCAAAATTGAGTTTGTTTTTTTGCTGAACTACACAAAAATTACCTATATTTTAATTTACCTAAATTGTTCAAGAAATAATCTAAAAATTAGTCTGTAGTATTGGCTTTGTAGACTCTCACCAAGGTACTAAAAATCTTACCAAAAGACTCTCGGCAATTAGTCAATAAATGAATTTGCTGTGTTTGACCATTTGACAAAAATTTTTCCAGCACTTAATCCTTACGATCACAATGTGTCGTCCCAGTAACGAAAATCAAAGGTGACTTTGCCAAGCTACCGGAAACAAGATGGAAGTCGGAAGTAACCATACAGAGACCTCACTGACTGGACTGTCAACAGACGCGCCATCTTCTCGCGGTTCCTAGAACTGATTTACATCTGCCGACAGACCAGAGGGACAGCAAAACGTGGGAAGAGATTACAAGGCTCATAAATAATACAAACAATGACCCTGCGATTGCTACTGGACACAAAACATGTTCTCGAGTAAGATAACAACAGAACACCGGCAGTTGACATGGCGTGTGGTTTAAATTACTGTAGATGCATTTATATGTAGGATTTGTTTGTTAGCACGACTTAAATCTGTAATAAGGGGCAGAATGCTGTTTTACTACAAGTTAAGTAAACTTAAGCCTTCCTCGCTGAGGTCAGTAAGTAAATAAATTTATCCTAACTATTTAGATTACCTACTTCAGAAAATGTAGTTGAATTAATTATATGTACGGTTGGTAACATAAATAGGGATATTGATATCTCGAGAAAGCATAATAGTTTTTGGCTTCAGATCTAACATTAAAATTCAATTTAAAAGATATTAAATTTAGTGAAATACAGATAGGAAAATATTGAGAAATAGGTTTAAGTGTACAGTAAACTATCGTGGGACCATTTTTTCAAGGGAGCGCTTTTTACAACGATACCTTTGCAAATTTAATACCATCCATAGTTGGGAAAGTTAGTCAGAAATTCTAACTAGTTAGAAGTTATTAGTTAGTCCCGTAAAAAGTAACTAATACTGGTTATTAGTTAGTTAGTTTAAAAACTAACGAATAAAATAGAAACTGGTTAAAAATTAACGAATATTGCTATTTGCTAGAATTTCTATTCGTTATTCCCAAGTATGTAATTACTACCTACATTTATTGTAAAGATTTTGAGCAAGAACAGTTAGAGTAGAGTAGTGGGTTGCCTTTGACAACTCGTAGTTTCAAAAACTAACACTAATTTCCAACAACTGCAACTATTCTCTGCTAACTCTGCATACATTTAAATTTAACTAACTCCGGAATAAGTCATTGGATACGTCCCTTCCTAGATGGGGTATGTGAAATTGGTCTACCCGTCTAGATAGGTTATGAGATGTTTGAGATGGATTCAAGTCTTTGATGTTTGAATAAAACTTCTTGTACGTTTTTTACTTATCGAATCCATTAGCATGATCAAATTACTTAATGAATTCCCCTCTTAAACTTCTCATTGTTTGTTAATGAACAGCCGGAAAATATTAATTAGCAAAGACAAAAGGTCTATACATGTTGCTAAATTAACTGAGTTCACTAATTTTGACTACATTAATACAGTAATCAGTTTGCAGAGTGTTCCCATGGATGATTTTGTTACTACTTAGTTGGAGTATGAAGGACCAACAAAAAGTGAACACACGCTTTAGTTTCGAAACTACTGTTGATAGGTAATAGGACAATAGGCATACCGTTACGTACAGTTAATATTTTTAAGGGTTTGTTTTATAATTAGTTAGTCCCTAAAACATAAGTTATTTCCCCTGTGTTAACGACTTAGCGATTACGGCACGTTACCACACCAACATACATTTCTCGAGGAACATGCAGCCCTATATGAGACGTTATTTATAACCCCTGCAAATGACGCACCCTCTACATATTTAGGCCTACTAGGTTGTGTCATTGTTCATCTGCTCTGTGATTGAAATAATGAATCATGTTTGTTATGAAAAATATCTAGAGATATTTTATTAATTTTAAGAAATAGATCCAATTTTTTTACGATTGCATTCAAGAAAAGACATTGATACAAGCCAAGAAAACATAATAATACCTCATCTACCCACTGTACATTCAAATGTACGTCTGTGTGTACTTTATGTAATAATGCTCTATTCTCTGTGGTATTAATAAATCGTCCATCACGTCATGAAACTTTTGTAAACATTCAATAAGCCTGGGAATGTTTCTGTCCAATACCCAATCTTAAAATCCCTAAAAGGTCTACCCCGAGGCTTTAAGCATCTTTAAGTAACGATCCTAATCTTATGGGAGTTACATCATTGATTGGTTATGGTAACAGAAAGAAAACTACAATATTTACATTCGTATAATTTACATTTATCAACAAACTTTTTACTTTACACTGTCATACACTCTACAGCCATTGTTAGTCTAGGCATACTGGCATACTTAAGTATTCGACTTATATTCATTAAAAAAACCTATCCCCTATTGTAAATCACTTAAAAAAGAATAAACTTGAGTCTTAAAAGCTTTCCTGCTCCAACTTGTATGCGTCAAGTTGTTCCGGCCGGAACACGGAAGTGACGACGTGTGACGTCGCATTTCCGGCAACTCACTCCCAAGGCTGCCAACCCCACATTAATTAGAAGGAAAGTACTTGTCCATTGTTGTACGGACGGCCTTGAGATTTGCTTATCTCCGTAAACACACACTTTCACATCTCACATCTCAACATCTGTCTTCTGTCTTTGTCCCTCACGCCGCGTTATCTGTGGTAGATTTACAAAATGATTGACATGGCGGAATTTGTACACGTTGAGTAAATACATTTTGGAGGGGTCTTGATCAGTTTACTTTGACGCTAAGCCTCAAATATTTCAAAGGATTATTCCAACTCAAAACTAACTAGTTGCATACAAAACTAACTGGGTCTAGGCTACATACAATCCATTAAAACCGAAAAAAGTCTGAATGATATACCAGTACCCTACTTCATAGATTCTAGAACAATCACACAAACATTTCAACAATAACAATGAAAGCCTTGTCCGGTAAGATATTTTTATGAATCCCAAAGACCATTTGAACGGAAAGTCAAAATAGATTGAGTAGTAGGGTAGGGATCAATAATTAATTATAATAAAATAAATTGTTTGTTTAAGTTCACTCTTGTTGATGGTTTAAGGGTTTTTTCAAACGTTTTCCTCGACCTATTAGTAAAATACAAATTTCATGATATTTCGGAATCTGAAAACAACATACACTATGTTGAAGCATTCAAAATATTTTACCAGTGATTAAATAAAAAATATGCATTACATAGACAAAACATTGACATTAGATTAGTATTAATCCCCCGTAAATATTTTTCTTTTTCAGATTTTTTCATCCTGTTCCCCAATTCGTGTACTAATGCTGACCATTGATCCCTGTTCTACTTGTAGTTTTCTTCCACCTAAAGGCGGAATCAAATCCTAGATCAGGAGATGTCGTAGTACCTCCAAGTTACATAATTTGGTTCGCTAATCAATTAATTGCAGAGTGCAAGGAAATCTACAAGAGTTGACAGTTGATTCGCTATCACGAGTTAAATTGAGACGTCACGACAAGAATTTATCATAGTATTTTTCATTTTAATATATTGTCATTGATATTTTTTCTAGCTTTAACCCCACAGCTTTACATGTGCAATTTTACTAGCATATTGTGTTTGGAGATTTGGAGACAGTAATTTAAGAGTTTAAATTATTGTCTTTGACTGATTCATAAAGGTGAGAAACCTAAAAGGGAATACAGGAAATCAATCGGTTGACATTGTTATGGAACACGTGCTAGCCGGTTTAAGTAGAAGTATTTAAAGTACGGTTTGTTTTCTTGTTACTTTTAAACTTTAACGATATTTTAGTACATTTTCCCCCACTTTATCGTATAATAACGGAGTAGTGGTGCAAAAATTATCAGATCTGCAATAAAATAGAAGAGACACTTAAACACATCTTTCAAACGGTGGAATTTTTACAACAGTTACGAATTCATTTATAGGGTTGGTTCTACGACTCGTGTACTTTGCCACACGAGAATAATAGAAGAAATAAACTCTACTCTCATGGTTTGTATGGAGACCATTATAAACGAGCCCACTCGGGAACAGAGTCGAATAAAAGGTATTACAGTAATTATCTCGCTTAATTTTCCCAAAGGACGAAAAGTTTAACAGCCGATTCCTGCCATTATTCTGACCTCCAACGAGATTTGTAAACTCCCACAATTCCGTTGGAAGAAAATACAGATATTAAACCGCTTGATGTGTGGGAAAGAAACGTCTTTGACGGTCGTTTGGCCGTTTCTGGACTA